TGATTACCGGTTGAAAGATACCGACGATGATTACCGGTTGAAAGATATCGATGATGATTCCCGGTTGAAAGATACCGATGATATTGTATGGTATGTGGTATGATGGGGGAACTCACTAAACTTTGTGCTTACGATTTCGGTTTTGGTTTCAGGTACCTCTTCGTCTAAGGGGAAGGAGCCGACGGTGTAGCATCGGATCACACACACACATGATTTCCGCATGGAGTTTTCTGGGATTGTACTCTGATATGTTATTATTTTATGACTTGGGTTTTTAGACATGATACATTGTTTTATGAGATGATGTGTTTTCACAGTATTTTCTTATGAATGTTTTTATGAGACAGTTAATTAAAAAGAAATTTTTGGACTTGAAAATTGGGATGTTACACTAATTAATAGTCTAGCTATTATTACTATTATATAAGCGTTAAACAATACTTATATAGCCCATAATAATAGCCCAAGTACTTATTATAAGTTCCTAATAACGTTACTATAATTAAATAAAAGCTATATTAAAAATAGCGTAGGCGTAGCTCACTTACAGCGGGTTATATAGAAAACCAGGCTTTGCTTGGAGCAGCGTTCCCGAGCCGAAAATATCTTCTTCTCGGAGCCGTCGAGCACTCCGGGGCTTTCGCCTCGTGCTAGGGAGGTTCCCTAGGCTTTTTCGGGGGGGGGGGGGGGGGGTTCGGGGCTAAAGAGAGGTTCTAGAGAGAGAGTAAGAGAAGAGAAGGTGAGAAATGTGTGAAGATGAGGGTGGGAGAGGTTCTATTTATAGGTGTGAAAATGGCTGAACTTGGTGCCACATGTCACCATCTAGTGGCAAGACTTGGGGAGAAAGCAATGGCCAAGATTGTGCCACATCACCCATTTTCGCACAACACACTTCCGACTTCTAAAATCCGTAACTTTCACATAAGACCTCCGTTTTTGACGTTCTTTATATCCACGCGTAGGTAAAAATAAGATCTAAAACTTTCATTTTGACTCCGTCGGCTAACTCTCGACCGATCTTAAATTTAGCAGTACGAGGAGATTATACTGTTAAATGTCCGCGTAGAATTCATAACTTCTACATACAGACTCTGTTTTCGTCTGTCTTTTTACCATTGAGTTCCTATTAATGAGATCTTCAATTCTCATTTAGGTCGCGTAGGTCAAAACCGCTCGATCTAAAATTCGAGTTTCGGGCTGTGCACTGCTAAGCCAAATCTTAGAAAATTCATAACTTCCTCATACGAAGTCAGATTTGGGCGTTCTTTTTTTGTATGTTCTCGGTTTAATGTATACTACAACTTTTGTTTAGATTTCTAAGGCTAAAAAGTACTCCATCGTAAATTCACTATTTACGTATCCCGGTGTCGTGCCGGTTTGCCATAAAACTTCGACGGACCATAACTTCTTCGTTATAACTCGGATTTCAACGTTCTTTATATGTACGGAACCCTTGAGACGTATTCTACAACTTGGTTAGATTATTTATTCTAAATAATCTTTTGTCAAAAATTCGTCTTCGACCCCTATTATCTCTAAATTGACTAGCCCGGATCTACAGGCGTTACACTATAAAAGTTATAACCATTTTCCTCCAGATCACACACTATGATATCACTCTCTTTCTACTCCTTCCTTAATTCTTCACCCACCCTTCTTCTTCTTCTTCCCCATTTCTTTCTCTGAAATAAACAGTGTATGTATGTGTGTGTGAGAGATATTGACCATAAGATGAGGTTCCTCTTCCTCCTACTGCTGTTACAATGCATTCCTAACTCATTCGCTTCCAAATCAAGCCGATTGTCCGAATACCAAGCACTAATTTCACTCAAATCCGCCATCTCCGACGACCCTCAGTCCTCCCTTTCCACCTAGGACTTTTCTACCAGCCACTGTATGTCACAACTAGGATTTTTGCTAGGAAATTCCACTCTCATATAATCATTCAACTAGTATAATAACTGATACTCTAAGCGAATACCATACTCTATGCTCATTCAAATACATCTCACGTGTTCAACTAAGGGCTGAAAACCCTAAAAATCCCGGTTTAAGTCCATTATGTACTAGGCTTTCCTTATTGGGCCCAATGGACCAATAAGCTTCCAATTTGACTATTTTGGGCTTAGGACCCTTAAATGGGATCTAACTGGACCCACCTTCATGAAACTTAACATTTTGGGCCATAATGGGCCTAAAATAATTTTGTTTACCCCTAATGGGCCTTATTGGGCCATAACTAATCCAATTAATCCTAGTAAGCCATAAATCCATTCTTTTATGCCATTTTGGGATGTGAATTACCCTAAAGGCCCAATGGGTCGAAAACTTCCATAATTGGGCCTTGTATTTTCAAGAGTATTCAAATTGTGTCCCAACATAACTCTTATCCCCTCTCCTCACCTCGTTCTCGGTTTTAGAATAAAAAAAAGAGAAATTGGTTAACTAGCTTAATGCATGACACCTCATTGTTGTTTGGAGGATAACCAAGCCATTTACACACCATGTAACAATGCATTCACATATATCCATGTAACACCTTATCTCTTCCTTCCATCTTCTTCTAATTCTCGGCCATAAGGCCTTCCCCCACCACAAATTTTCATTTCAAACTTATAAACACAATCTTCATTCCTCTCATACCTCCCAAAGAACCCAAGGAAATTTCATCACTTCTCCTTCCAAAAATTCGTGAACTAGGGTGTTCACCAAGAATATTTTTTTAAGATCATCACTTATTTGGTAAGCTACTCTTTAAGCTTAATGATTAACTTCATTTTATGATAATCTTCACTCTTTGACACTTCATTTCATGATCCATGCTCTTAGAGCTTCATAGATCTCAAAAATCTCTTGAAGGGAGCTTGTAAAGCTAAAAACTCCTCTAATCTTCATCAAAAAAACCGAAAACTTCAAAGCAAGGTGAGTTCATACCCCCTATTTTCGGTTTTTACTAAGTTTTGGGGGAGAATACAAGTTGCTTTGTGTAGATCTATGTGTATATGCTTGAATATGTGTGTTTTTCGTGATTTATTTGGTGATTATGTGTTATTTACTTCATAAATCTAAAAATATGTTAAGAATATGAAGTTTATCACTTGGATCTATATGAAAACTTGAGAAAAGTATGTGTTATCACATATAATACATGTAAACTTGTAGATCTGGGATTTATACACTTAAAATAGCAAAAACAAGTGGTGTGTACAAACATGGATAACTTAAACTCAAAAATCAGCCCTTGACAGAAACGTTTTGGTCCAATATCGAACTGTTTTGACCACCTAAATGATAATATTTTTCAAAACTGTTTTACATGCAAAAAGTTCAGGTTTATACCTTTAAAATGACTACTCTCGCGTTTTCATACGGTTTTTCTACAATTTTTGGCGAATTTTACAAATTTTCCATTCTGTGAAGGTGAGCAATTTCACACTTGTTAGAGGCCATTAAAAATTATGAACAAAGTAGACAAAATTTACAAACTTTCCAGAATTTATGGATCCAAATTTCGACTTACGATGATTTTTCTATAAATTTTCCAACAACTAGGTCAGAAAAGCCAAAAACCAGAAAAATGTGTGTTTTCACAAAAATCAAGCCAAAAAATGATATTTTCGACAAAAATGGGTTTAAAATGTTATTTTTACCATAAACTAGTCATAAACACAAGTTTTGAACAAAATGGGGACTAAAGTGTTATTTTTACAAAAATTGGGCCTTAATTGTAAATTTTTCGCTTATTGGGCCAAGAACGTCATTTTTACAAAAAAGTGGACCTTTTATGCTATTTTAGTGAATACTTGAACCAAAATCAACAATAAACTAACAAACGGATTAATTTTGATCATTTTCTAGGTTATTGGGCCTTAGTGGCCCATTTATATGTTTGATAGGTTTTGTATACTATTTGTGTGCTATTTGGGCCTATAAATACCTTACATGTGAAATGAGCCTTAGTTGTCCTTTTACATATATTTTGGGCCCATGTTATGTAATCTCATTCATATTAGGTTTTGAAATGACTCACATGTTTAGCGATGCCCTAGTGGCTCACTTACATGGTTCGTTGGGCCTAGGATGAGTTTTATACGTTTATCTTCGCGTAAATTCGATTAAGGATCTAGTGAGTTTTGTCGGTTGACACCTACAAGTGTTCGATTGTAGCCTGTAGTTATAATCAGAGTCTCTTTGAGGGAGAGCGGGGTTTTGTGTATAGATCTATACGGGGGTGACACTCCACACCTGAGCTGTTCGCTACAATTAGACTACATCAGTCTAGGGTGACTATAACCTTATTCTATTTTTCAGTCGGCGTTCACAAACGCTAAGACAGGTGAAATTGTCATTATTTAGTATGGTTATAATGGCTCACTTAGAGGAATTAACGTTATGAAGTTTGCGGAAGACTATTTTCTTTTATGTTAGATTACTAGGAAACTTACTCACACTGGTACCCCACCTCGGTGTTGGTAAGTCAGCATTATCTATTTTCTTTTATGATTGGATTACTCGGTAACTTACTCACACTGGTACCCCACATCGGTGTTGGTACGGCATCATTAACTATTCTTCTTTTACGGGCAACATCGGGTTGTCGGGGGACATTCTATATACATTCTCTTCAATCACTTTTGACATTCTATTAAACAATAACACCCATGCATTAATACAAGATCAGACATAAACATACCAAACTATTTTAAGAAAATACAGGATTTTCTTGTGATTACAAAGTTATACAAATCATTTTCTCAAATATACTTATGAACTCACCAACATTATATATGTTGATGTTTTCAAAATAACTTGTATTCTCAGGGACTCGTTAAGCAGAAGAATCAACAAGAATAGGGGATTTTGTTTTGTGTACTGTCAAACATCATACGTTGAATATTTTGGTAATGTTATTTAAAAGATTGTACTTGATGTAAACAATGGTAGTTGTATTATATTATGCATGATAATGATGATGTTATGTTTCATTTATATTCATTGTAATGATATTTCAAGATGAAGTCACGCACAAGCCCCCGGACGTTTCCGTCGTCTGGTTCGGGGGGTGTGACACTGTACTTGGTCAGATATCACCTGCGAATGAACTCACAGGCTCTATCCCTCCCGAAATCGGAAATTTAACAAACCTCCAACAGCTCTATCTTGGGTACTACAAGGGTCACACCGGTGGTATTCCTCCAAAAATCGGTAATTTATCAAGCCTCATTCGCCTCAACGCCGCCAACTGTGGTCTCTCCGGTGAAGTTCCTCCGAAAATCGGGAAGCTTCAAAACCTGGACACGTTGTGGTGATTAGAGGCCACCATTGTTAATGGAATTAAACTTTTTCCATTTCCCAATTTTGAAAAAGATAGAAGAAAAAAGGTAAGAAAAAGTGTCACAGTAGTGCTTATATAAATTCTCAAAGTTGTTGACGATGTAGAAGTCTACTAGGCTCCAAGTGTTGCTGACGATGCTACATGTCATCATTTTCTAACCTATTTGGCAGATCTAACCGGTTATAATGAGTTGTTTACCCAAATTAGCAGGTAAAACACAAGTTGATGCCCTTAGAAAGTAAAAAAATAAGACAAGGGACCTTTTAAACCAAAACATGTAAGTTTGTTAGGCTACAGTAACATTTACCCTTTACTTTATTATAATGTTTTCTTTTTTAGTAAAAGAATAAATGAATCTACATACGTTTTAATGTTTTAATTAGGTAGTTGGATGAGACTCGTCAAGTGATAATAATCAAATACCCTAAATACCCTTTGATAAAGTATAGTTGGAATCACTTACGTACGTAATCAGCTCATTTGTATTTTGCAATGATCTTTAACAAATAAATAAATTTACAAACAAAATACATAAGTGTTGTATTTTATCTGAAACAAGATTCGGTTCGAAAATTTATTTATAGTTATAGTTATATTTAGAGTTACAAAGAAAAACACAACGGGGATGTAGCTCAAATGGTAGAGCGCTCGCTTTGCATGCGAGAGGCACGGGGTTCGATCCCCCGCATCTCCATCTTTATCTTATTTTAGTTTTGCATCTCCATTATTTTGGACAAATATTCATTTTTTTTTTAAAACAATATTCTTAAAGTTAACGTTTTTTATTAGTAATGCGTTTTTTATTAGACCAAATAATATGTTTATTAAGTGATATATATAATAAAAACGCATTACTAATAAACATTTTATTTCCTCAAAGTTGTTGGACTTATTAGTAATGCGTTTTTTATTTGATAACTAATTCCTTGTTTCACTATAAAACTTTTTTTCATGGGCTCTTTAAACATTAGCTTTGGAAGTATTGTTCGTTCCGAAACAAAGTGCATACAGAATAAACATATTATTTGGTCTAAGTTCTACTTTAATCACTTATATATGAGAAAAAATCGACTAAAATATGTTTATTTAAGGAAATATCTTAGAAAACCCAACATATTATTTAATGATGCCCAAGAAAATTGGTTGAATAGTCTGCATGGAGTTAATACAATTACATGACATTTTTTTGAAAGGCGGTTTGGTGCAGCGGACAGTGATATCCGATATAACAGTATGTCATAACACCCAACGAACCCGAGTTCGATCCCTCTCTGAAAATATAACAACAACATCCTTAGCAACCTAGTTTTCTATTAAGGGGCTTCACTGCTTTGGACATAGATACAACTCGACACCATTTCCCAGAAATCCTTGGTTTATTTATGGAAGGAAGATGAGATAAAAGAAATGAAGATTTATGTCAATCTTCCTTAGAAACTATGCTCCCAAATCGAGAGGAACCGAAGAGAAAGGAAATGAAACATTATTCCTGTTATTCTCTCTCATCTTTTTTTCTTTCCTTTAGTAAACGCGGAGCAAAGCGTTAGAGCCGGGTCTATCATGCAATCTCCTTTCACAGTCTATTGACAAATCATTGCCAAATCATAATCCAAAAATACGCTCCAACGGTAAAACACTAAACCACATCACCTCATCTTCCTTGTCCTGATGGATATAAGAAAAGAGTGTCATAAGAACCTCGACCACCGAGCTTCATAAGATCTGGGGATTCCAACCACTACCAAAAACATGATCTCCTAAACAGCTATGTATGTGCTATTTTTTTTTGAACAATTAAAATTTTATAAAAACAACGTTAGCAAGAAGCTAGTGAGAAAAAGAAATTACAAAGAGTCATACATAAGAGGATTTTCATCCCTTGGAGACAAGAAAATTTTCATCTACTATTCCTATTAGAAAACCAACTAAAAGCTTTGATAACAATACTTTCAAAAATATAACTCTTACGCATCTTAACTAACTGACGATACTATTCCGAAATTGCCATATCACCCATATGACCATGATACAAACAATCTCTACCATTTTCTTCTTTTCCTTCTTTAATCTCAACTATTCAATCCAAACGAACAACTCCAAATCTCCAACACATCATTGAACAACCAAAATGGGAGACAGCCACTTAAGAACCTTACCCCAAATCTGGTTAGCAGCACTATGTATATGCTATAGACGCAAAAAAAATCTACAATTTGATAAAATTAATATAGAAAGAAAATTTAACATGCAAAAAGAATAAGAAACATATTTTTATCCATATTTTTACTGAAATAAATACAATCTCACTAAAAAATATGTTAAAAACGTTAATATAAACACTTCAATTTTTTTTCTGTATTTCACAAAATGAAAAATTGTTTATGTTTTCCGAAGCATAAAATTGAAAATGTTAATATAGCCACTTTGCGAACCAATTTAGATGTCCAAGAATTGGTTCTTGTTTTGCAAACTTATTTATAAATTCAACTAAGTTTTATAACACAGTAACAACCAAATATGCATAAATTTTTAACAAAAAAAAGTACATATTTATATTTTTTTCCATAGTTATTCAATCAACTATAGTATCAGTAGAAAATACGTTAAAATAAAAACTTTAACTCAAATAACTATGTGAAAAACTGAAGAAATTATAATGATAACTTCGTGAAGCTTTTGTTGAATGTATTTTTCATAATATAATTACATATTTTAGAAAAATGATTGTTCTCAAGCTGTAGTGGTTTCAAAAGAGATTTGCAAAAATAGGCAAGAAAAATAAAAACTGAGAAGCAAGTATTTAATGTGGGGAACATTTGTTTCCGTTTGGCAAGTCATGAAATAGGTTTCGTGAAACATGCAGTCTTTTATATGTTTAATAAACAAATAAACTCCTCTACGAAGAGTTCACAATTATTTGACTTGTTATAGCTCTATTTTGTCAACTTTCAAAATATACAGAATTGAATAACTAGATATCTTAAGGTGTAAATTTAATAGATAGATTTAATTTAGGAATCGTAACTTTGAACTAAATACTCAACATGGGGATGTAGCTCAAATGGTAGAGCGCTCGCTTTGCATGCGAGAGGCACGGGGTTCGATCCCCCGCATCTCCAAGACTTCATTCTTTTTTTCTAAGTTAAATTCTTCTGCGTTTACTTTTGAAGTATAAATACTTTGACTTTGATTATTTCAATATAATAAATAGATTATTGTAACTTCAAAAAAAGATCAGGTTTGATTACATTTAAAAACAATTGTATAATGTTATACATTTGAATTCATAAACAAGCATGTATTAGGCTTAATACATGCTAACAAGTGGCTGTATCAGTGTATCTGTATTTTTAGAACACACTCATTGCATGTTTCCAATGGTGATTTTATCTTTACAGGAATAAATCAATTCATAATAAGATCAAACGATTATTCTGCATATGATTATAAAAAGAGGTCTCAATATTCACGATGTCTGGAAAGTGTTTAAAATGAATCTCATGGCTTACATGAATAATAGATTAGGGGAAACATTTGATTAGATAGTGGATCAATCATTCACATGAACCATTGCCATCGTTTCTTCATGCAAGGTCTATGCTTCTCCTTCAAGAATTCTTGTGGGTTACGGGTCGCCCATACCCGTCGCCAACAAGGGTAATAATAACATATTACAAACTCCTTATCGAGTTATCGTGCTCTCTACCTTCACAATGGTCTTGTCACACCTTAAATACTCAGAAACTTAATCTTTGTTAACAAATTTACCCGTGATAACAAAGTTTCTGTAGAATTTAGCGATTTTTTTTTTTTTTTTTTTTTTTTTTTTTTTTTGAATGATTCAAGATCAAAGAAACTCATCTCCGTTGTGATAACACCAAATATCTCTATCAAGTTCGGCCCACCAAGTCAGTAATGTCGTTTTGCTTTCTTCAAGTCTTATCATGTGGCACCAAAGACTCGGACATCTTAAGAATGAAGTGCTCAAGTTTTGTCTAAGTTTATTTAAGGTAATAAGACGATCTCAAATTTCATTTTTCATGGTTTTCAAGTTGGGGAACAAACTTGTCTTCCTTTTCTAGGTCTAATACTAATAAGTCTTCTTTTGATGTAATACACTCCAACTTGTGGAATTCTCCCATTTCAATTAATAGTGGTTTGAAATACCATGTCATCTTTCTAGATCATTACTCATATTATTTATGGGTCTATCCCACTTGTGGAAATGTGACACATTATCCAAATCCATCCATTTCCACTCTTTTGTCATGATGGTGAGTTTGACAATGCCGCATCACACACCCTTTTTCACACAAATGACATACTTTTTGTTTTCTCATGTCTTAAAACCTTCATACAAAACAATAAATGTGAACGCATGACCCTATCCATTAACAATTTCATCCACACACTCTTTTTCCAAGCTCATCTACCCCCAACTTATTGGATAGAAGCTCTTCACACGACTACCTATCTTATAAACATGATTCCCTTAAAAGCTATCTAAATTGACATTCCATTCACCAAATTATACAACAAACCTCCATCCTACTCCCACCTACATATTTTCGATGCATATTCTACCCTCACAATCATACCTCTCATAAAGCCGAACCACATTCCACTTTGTATCTCTTTCTTGGATACCTATCTCACCAAGGCTATAAATGTCTAAATCTCTCTACCAAAAGAATCATCATCCTTTGTCATGTCATATTTGATAAGTCTACTTTCTCATTCAAATCCATGACACCAAATAACCTTCCATCTTATTCCTTTCTTGACCCCACCACCGAAACAAATGTCATTGCTAATTGTTCTGTGTAGCTTGATGTTGATTTTAGTGTCATCATGTCATTTTAAGTAACTGGAACTAACATGTGAGCTAAGGGGCTTCATAATTTGTACTCTATTATATGTACGGGGTTGTGCGGAGTGCACGCATGTATAAGATCGAATTAAAAGCCGGTTCGATGACTGGTCGGGGGTCCGGGGGCAGCGCCCCCGGGTCCGTGGTTTCCAAAGGGGCAGCGCCCCTTTGGCGGGGTCTAGGGGCAGCGCCCCTAGCGGGGTCCAAGGGGCAGAGCCCCTGGCTGGGGTCCCGCTTAAATCCGGATTAACATTACTTGCTTCCAAAGCAACTAATGACGACCCAACCCTAATGAAACCCTAATCGTGTTTAATATATAAACAACTCTTCCTCTACAGAAGAGGGTTACGATCTTAAGCTCTCGTTTCATCATACTTTCACAAAATCCTCTAGCATATTGGCTTACGTCTTCTGTGCCTAGAAACGTAAGTGTCCACTTGGATTATCCTAGACTGAATTTCTTGTAACCCAGACATATGGTAGAAATATCAGTTCGGAAAGTGATATCACGATCCAAGTTGGTATCCACCACAAACCCTAAATTTCCCAACACATCTTTGGTCACACCCACTATGACCGAACCCCTACCCTCCACCAATTGTACTTCACCTGGCCCTACCACTCATCTAGCCAAGACATCACCCGACCTCAACACCACCCATCCCCACCCCTCATCGTTAACCGAAACCCCTAACAACCCATGTCCACCTTTCTGGCAACCTCTCATTGGGCAAAGTATAATCAAAAATCCAAAATTTGATAAAATCACTAAGAAAATAGAATTTAGCATTCAACAAGAATAAAAAACATATCTTATCCATATTTATCGAAATAAATACAATATCACTAGAAAATATTTTTAAAGGTTAATATAAACACTTCACAATAAATTCAAAGGTTCTTGTTTTGCGAAACATAAAATTGAAACACTACTCTATTTTTAACATATAATAATAAACATAGCATATTTTATGTCATTAGAGGATACGTCAAAATGTTAATATATCGAATTTGCGAAAGAATTAGATGTTCACTGTTTTGCAAAAACAATATTCGAAATCTACTATATTTTAAGACAACGTAACAACCAAATACACATTCTTTTTTCATATTTATTCAACTAATACGTGAAAAACATTAAGACAAAGTACCAACCAACTATTTATTCGCATTTTTAAATACTACTCCACTTCAAAATACTGTATGAAGAAAATATGCATATTGTGCACACTTTTAGTCTAACAACTATAATGTTACTATAGACTATGTACAAAAAGAGTTGTTAAAATGATAACTTGACATGTGTTATCAACATTAAAACGATCACAGAAAGCTCCAAGGATGAAGTGGTTTCAAAAGAAATTTATGAAAATGGGCAAGGAAAAAAGCCGAGAAGCGAGTTATATATGAGGACCATTTGTTTCCCTTTCGTTAGTTAGAAAATAAGTTTCATCAAACATGCTGTCATATAGTACCTCTCATAAATTAACAAATTTCTTTACAAAAGTTCAGAAGTATTTGGTTTGTTATTACTCTATTTTGTTTGCATCAAATTTGCCTTCTTTGAAAATAATCAGATTTAGATAATTACATGTCTTATGTTATACGTTAACCAGAGAGATTTAAATAATTATTAGATTTATGACCAAAGTTAACAAAACGGGGATGTAGCTCAAATGGTAGAGCGCTCGCTTTGCATGCGAGAGGCACGGGGTTCGATCCCCCGCATCTCCAATTCTCATTCTTTTTCAAGTTAAATTCTGACTGTATTATACATACACACTTTGATTCTTTATATAGTAAATCGATTGTTTTTAATGTCAACTGATTATTATTACAAATACAAACAATTGGATTATCTTACATCTGAAATTCTGCATTTCTGGTTTTCAATCATAATACAAGTTAACAAGTAGGGGTCCAAACGAGTCAGACTATTCGGGATCAACTTATTAAAAGGTCATTTTAAGATCGATTTTAAACAAGTCCAAACCAAACTCGAGCGTAACATTAGTCTTGTTTATTAAACGAGCTTGAACCTGTGTAATTAAGCTCGATTAAGCTCGCTAGCCTAAACGGGCCTCCATATATATAATAAAAAATTAATTTTTACTTTTTATATTAAAATAAGTAATTATTTAATAAATACCATTTTAAGAAATTAGAATATACGGTATACAAGCCAAGCCCAAATCGGTATAAATCTTTACGGGACGAACAAGAGCTCCATGACATAGCTCGAAACGAGCCAAGCTTGAACTTAGTCAAATTCGGGCTCAACTCGGCTCGTTTGAACCCCTATTCAGAATTGGCCGTGTCTTTAGTTTTAGAATGATTATATTACGGTTTAAATAAGTAAAATCAAATACGTCTAAAATGAATTTCTTACAATACTGTTTGCTCTTATTATGATTTTTTTGATGCTTTTAATGATAAAATCATCACCGGAAACATACAATGAGTGTAACACTCATTGTATTGTATGGTCCTGTGATGATTTGCGTAGCACTCATTGTATTGTATCGTCCTGTGATGATTTTATCATTAAAAGGATCAAAAAAATCATAATAAGAGCAAATAGTAATTGTTCATTAAGCATAATCATAATTTATCAGACAACCATAAATAAAACATGCATCAAAACTATTGTTACAATTAAATAAAAAAAAAAAAAAAAACTAAGCAGAATAAGGTATCCGAAGTGCCATTTTTTGTGCGAGCCAAGGCCTTTCTGGAGTTGGGTCGATAAAAGAATGCATCAGAAACTCTTGGGCTTCCTCCTCCATCAATTCTCTAGCCCATGTTACACGGTTTTCTGAACTACTTCCCGGCCCATAACATCTGCATATAATCTTTTTTGTCAGATGATTTTTACACATAATAACAATATACTTTATGAGAAAAAAATATAAAGTACGTTTCCATTATGAGTAAAAAAAATACGTATATTGTTATTACGGGTAAAATTATACAAGTATGTTGCTGTTGTGAGTAATAAATAAAAAGTATTGTTGTTTCCCACATAATGATAAAATGAATTATTGCATATAATTATATACCTATACTCATAAAAGCAAGCACTTCTTTCATTCTCGGGTTTCCCCCAATTATGCCAACCATCATGCTTTACGCATGCATCCATGTACGTGTATGCATAAACTACCCGCCCGAATGGTCCCCATGGCCGCCCGAGATATGCATATGCTGCCCCTCCATTCCCCGTTATCACACATCTACATTACAAGAAATAGCAACTTACTTCCATTTAAAATAAACCTATTAATTTGACTTTGAATATTTAAAATAAAATAAAAAATCAAGATAGTTGAATGCAAACCTTAAAAACACATAACCTGTGGACTCTTGACAAGATTTTCTACTTTGTGCCGTTATATAGCCACCTGATTTGCAGTGAATGTGACAATTCTCCATTAACGCAGTGCTATTTCCAAAAATGAAGTCCACACTTCCTTCAATGTAACAATCTTTCAAATATTGCTTTCCATAGTGTAAATAAAGGGTATCCTGTAAAACAATTGAATTGTATCACATTAAAGAACTAAAGCTTTGATAACAGTGATAAGAGTATCTTCAACCACACTCTATTTAGCGTGTCAAATACAGTTTAGAATGGTTCATCTCCAAACCCCTCTAAACTCTATTTTAGACTCTAAATAGAGTATAAAATAGAGCATGTGGGAGATGGTATAATTTACACTCTAAATTCAAATTTAGAGTGTAAGTATTCATCTCTCTATTTATAAAGTGTAAAATCTCATCTATTTTACACTTTATAAATAGATTGTAATGACAAAAGTATAATGTGGTTGGAGATGCTCTTGAATTCTCACCTGCCACCCAAGAAACCTGCAATTATAGAAAGCACAACGATCTGCTGTTACTCTGATAGCCACTGCTTGGCCGGAACCCTAGAATCAAAAAAGATTAGAAGAATAGCGGAAGATATGAATTATGATGAAAATTATTGAGAAAGAAATAACACCTCAGGAGCAGAATTCTCGAATGTGATGTTTTCACTAATGAAATCTTCCCCTTCAACAATTACAGTCCCACATCCGAATGTTCCTGTTCCTATCAATCGCGATGCCTGTTTATACGAATTAACACGATTTTCATACTCGATTGTGTTGTAGATAAATGATAGTTAGAGAGGATTAAGGTCTAAATTGCTTCAATTTCATGGAAACTGATTAAATAAAACGGAACCTAATTGATTTGTAGGATATGAACAAGATATTTAGGGTTAGGGTTGAAGGAAGAGAACTGACCTGGTGGTGATCGATTTTGTTGGCGGTGTTATCCCAAGTGATAACAGTGATCTCACGGCTTAATCCGGCGAGAGTGATGAAGTTTTTAGTCTTGGCGACGTAAATAGGCTGTTTGTAAATCCCCGGAGATACACGAATCACAGTCCGGCAATTGTTGCCGAGTGGTACGTCGTCGATTGCTTCTTGCACCGTCCGGTAGTCGCCGGCTCCGTCCTGCGCCACCGTCACTATTCTTGCCATATCTTCTTGATTGTATCAGTTACTGTTCGTAAAACAGGTTCTGGTAATGGAGTCGGTGATGTCGAGTTAAAGATCAATCACTCGATAGCGTCGGTTTTGTCAGTGGAAATGAGATCAAGATATTGTGATATACTTCTATGAGTTTAATCCCAACAAAAATGTACCCAACATTTCATTTATCGTTGATGTTTATGTAACAGCCTTTTATTTGGATATAACAAATTATAGGATTATGTATATATTTCATATATATTTTTTAAATATTAAAATATCATCCTCATAGAATAATTTTTTTTTTGTTGTTTTTAACCTTTTAGTTAAAAATGTTAAAATATTATATTTATATAATGTTAAATGTTTTTGTTGTTTTTAATAGAAATATTAAAATATCGTATTATTTACGTAATGTTTGTATTGTTTTTAATAAAAAACATTAAAATATTATATTTTCAAGAATATATTTAATTTTTTTAGTTAACCTGACTTATATTAAATTTAATTGATTTAATTATTATATTAATATTTAGGTATTATTTATTTTATTAAGAAATAACATAATTAGAAATATAATAAAAACATATATAATAATACAACATTAAATAACTTCGGTTAACCTTTCAAACACTTATAATTATACCTACAAACAATAATATTGACGAAACATGCAATCCATATATGAGGTAGCTCAGATAGTTCACCCTTGTTTGAAATAAAGCCGCTATGGAGAAATAAAATGCATATGATACTCTCCTTATAATACTACTCTAACATAATATTGTTATTAACGTGTCCAAATGCAATAACAATATGTTCGTATGATAGTGATGAAGCAGACCATAGTGGTAAATATTTTGAACTCCATCTATTAGCTAAAGAAAGTAAGATTACATTATACCAAAAAGCAATCAAGATACTCATTTCAGAAATGGTAACCAATCCGCATACGATGTAGCAATATGTCTGCTAAAGAAATTCAAAGACATTTAGAGTTGAAGCTGGTGCACACTTCTAAGGATGTAACGTATTCTTTTATATGTATGTTTAAATCGCCCAATAAATTTGAAACGTCCCAAAAATATGACCCAAAATTTTCATTTTTAATTTAAATAAAACATTATTCCAAAAACATTATCAATACAACCCAAGTAAAATAAAAGTGTCAAACATCATATCAATCAGAGTGAATCACAAAAGGCAGAACGAGGTGGTGTGTGCTCTGCAATTATCCCGAGCATTTTCCCTTGGAACTGGAAGTACCTGAAACATAAACTGAAAACCATAAGCACAAAGCTTAGTAAGTTCTCCAAGATACCACATACCAACATATAACACATAACGGGCCCCACCCTAACTCGCATAACGGGCCCCACCCAATGAGCATAACGGGCCCCGCACACATACAATTCATATTACACAACAAGTAATAGCATACAAACTAATCACAGGGCCCCGCCCAGTAAACATACAAGCACATTCGCATACTAGTGTCACACAGACAACGAGTAACCTAACATAACAGATCATGAGCCGACATTGGTGCCTTCAACCCAATAAACATGGTGAGCACACTCACCTCGGACTGTTGAACCACACTGATAATCCAGGGCTGCTGGTCCGACAAATCCCCGAGCTATCAATTATCAAATAACATCCAATTCATAATTTGAAGTCACAACTATATCCTTCAATCCATACTTAGGGTAAAAAGACCATTTTACCCTTTACCTAGTTGGGTCCAAGACTAAGGCCCAAACTTTCAATCCAAAAGGCCCAAAAACCAATTAACCAACCAAGGCCCACATATAGCCCAATTTTCCAAATTGGGCCCAAACCCCTACATGGGCCTTACCCTAAGGCCCACCAATTTTTCCTAGTCCAAACTCTTGCATTCAGATAGCCCAATAAGGCCCCAAGCAACTAGGCCCAAAGGATAGCCCAAACCCGAAGCCCAATCATGCGAAGTCCACCAGACTGAGTACGTGGGGCGTACTCATCACGTACGCCCAACATACTCGCTTGAGGGCTTGTACGCTAAGCGTACCTTCTTGTACGCCCAACGTACTCACCTATTCAGCCCAAGACTTGATTTCAACACTTAATCCCTTAAGACATAGCTCCAAAACACAAATCTGGCTTCCTTGAGCTGGATTATCATGTAAAGCTGCTAACTTTATGTTCATGCATGGCTAAATGAAGCTCTTAAGCTTAAAAATGACTTAATAAGTGACTTAATGCATGCATGTGACCAAAAATCCCATAAAGCTTGCACCTTTATGCTTAAGGAGACCATATCAAGCTCAGATCTAAAAGAACAATCCCATAAAACGTCTTAACTCTTCTATCAACCCAAAAAGGGACCAAAAGCATATCAAAACAAACTATGAGGAGATCTAACCATCTACAAGCCAAGGTATGAACTTGATACCTCAAAGAGATTGCAACAAAAAGGATGATTCTGGATCTATGACCTTCCTTCCAAGCTAAGCACCTTCAATCTTCAAAACTTCCTTCAAAATGAGCAAAATAACCACTAAAATCCTCTCAAGGGCTTAAGAACACCACCAAGAAAGCTTAAGGGATGATTTAGGGTTTTAGGAGGTTTGGGGGCTGGTAAAGAGGCCAGCCCTAGGGTCTCAAGGTGTTTGTATATGGTGCAACACCCTAAATTAGCGTTTCGATATGTCTTACGTACGCCCCGCGTACATAAATTTACGCTCAGTATACACATCTGGAGTCCCGTTCCCACCTCGCATCAGTACGTTAAGCGTACCATGTGGTACGCCCCGCGTACTCACTTTACAACTTGTATGCTAAGCGTACCATGTGGTACGCCCCACGTACAATTCAAGGACCAAAAATGCAACTTTAATAATAATAAGGGCAATAAAGAAACATACCAAGATTCAAGTGTTACAAAATTACACCGAAAATTAGACCATTTATCTTGATGAAAACTGAGACAAACAACTATTGTTCGAAATCCATAATTTCCATCACATCTTTCATCTTGTACATGTTGTACGTAATAATGAAATATAAATTTAAAATTGATCAATGTAAAAATTTTAGTAGTTTTTTGGGTCAGGAGTATGAACAATATTTTACAGGTTCATGATTTTCCTAGTGTGTTCGAACAATCGCGTCTATGTGGTTCTTTAGTTGTCATATTAAATCGATAATATTTGAAAGATTTGTTTTTTCATGTTTGGACTGCCACGGGCAGTTTTATGAGTAATGGGTTCACAAACCAAAGTTTTCGATGATGTTATTATCTCCCTGAACTTCCTCAAAATTTCACATTTTCCAAACCGTAACTAAAATTTAAAGTTATGAGTTATGGAAATTTATCATCATCAGAACAAATATCTTCACCACCTTCCACCACTATAAACGATGATAAATCAAGCTTCTTCCAAAATCTATTGATTGAATCAAGTGGAATAGGTTGATTTACATTGAAATATAATGAAACATGGTTGTTAGGTCTCGCAGTTTGAAGATGTTGTATTTGAGTCTGTATGCAAAAGGTTTCATAGTAATTGTATTTTATGTCTTCAACTTGTCAATGCGAAAACATTTTTTGTTTCGTAGTTTTAATTTAGGCTTCACAATGTTGTTTACTTAGTTGTATTTACAACCCGTCTTAGCTTATGTGTCTTGACCTGATTGGTCTTTTCCTAACCGACTCCCTTGTTGTGTCCTATTTATAAGGGATGTTAGTTAGATAGAGATAGTATCTTTTGTGAGGTTCTTAATTGCAACATTGTAATCGAACTTTTTATTCTAATTAAAAACAAATCATATTTACTTTCTGGTACTCATTCAATTTCTTTTATTCAAACATGATTTCTGTCTTCTAGAATCTGGTCGATCCTACAAGTGGTATCAGAGTAAGGATTTCTCTAAACTATTTTCAAATCATTGAATTCATTCATGTTCTTTGGGTTTTTGGTTTGTTACATCGTGTTTCTAGATCTATTCCGCATTTTGCATTTTGTTTGTAATTTGATATGGAAATCTTTGTTTCATTTCTCGTTTTGATTTGAAATCTGTGTTTGCTCATTGATTTGATTCTTACTCAAAATTTTCATTTAAAAACATGTCAAAAGAAGATTCTCATGCTGTTTGTTTCATTTTGTCAAGAAATATCGGATCATCTACTAGTATTCCAATTTTGTTTCCCAAAATTATGAAGTTTAAGTGTCACACTTTGCAGATTACATCCCATGAATTGAAAAAACTGTTGGATTAGGTGTCTAAGCCCATAACTATAATTAGTATGTACTTGAATTGGTAGTGACATGGTCCTTTTGGGTTGCCTTCACACTTGCAACTAAACAGGATGATTAATTGAGGAAGATGAAGAATTTATTAATTTGATTAATAAATTGGAATAAATGATTTATTAATATGTTATGGAAATAATATATTAATTAGTAATCATATTATTAATTAATATTTAATCAGAAATTAATTTGGAATTAATTTTGGGATTAAAAGGAATTAATTATAAGTGCAGGGACTAAAAGTGCAATTGTTCAATAGTTGAGCAAAAGGGTCCAAAACCTTCCTAGGGAAGGTGGTGGACGAAATTGATATGTATATATAAGATTATTCTATAATTTCTAGAATATCTTATCATATATGGATAATCAAAGGAGGTGGATAATTACCATATTTAATATTAGGGTTATCCATAGCATCATTGGTGCACTATATAAAGGGTTCTAAACCCTTGGAGTCTTGGCCACTCTTTAGAAGAAGTAGAAACCAAAAATTTGATATCTTCCTCCTCTCTCATATCATTCTGTTGGATTGTGTGTTTATGAGCCATTAAAGGTGTTACACTTGTGACACTAAGTTCTCAAGATTCAAGATCTACAAAGGAATAATTGTTGTTACAATATAACAATCAAGATATGTAACCAAACCCTAGTTTTATATAGATTTCGAAAATTGTAGTTACTTCCTAGGGTTTCTCATTTTGTGTTCAAGTTTGCATGTTTAATTAGAGAAAACCTAGATCCAAAGTATTAGGGTTGCATGCACACAAAGGAATTGTTGTTATGCTCAAAGCCCATCAGTGGTATCAGAGCCTAGGATTAGTTTTCTATTGAATATGATGCAATTGTGAATTGTTCAAA